CCTCAGCTAGACCCTTCAGGCGAACTGAGAAGGGCTGCCTCATTGAAGGCCTGTTTTGGAAAAGAATGGAGCTCGACAAGTCATTAATAGTAGAGTATGAGGGGTGCCTCTTGTCTGCCTTCACCTTAAGGAAATATACAAAGGACATGTAGGTTCTTTGCAGATGAAGCGACCACTCATTTGACTCAACGTAAAGGCTTTCTACGGGGCTGGTGCGAAAAGCACCCGTAGAAAGGCGGATGCCGGAATGGTGCACGGGATCCAGCATCTTCAAAGCACTTTGAGTCGCAGACTGATAAACAATGGCCCCATAATCTAAGCGGGTGCGAATTAGGCTTCTATACAGGTTCATGAGGCATTTCCTGTCACTACCCCACGTAGTATGCGACAACACTTTTATAACATTCATGGCTTTTAAACATTTTGTTTTTAAATACTTTATGTGGGGTACGAAGGTCAACTTGTTGTCCACGATTAAGCCTAAGAATTTATGCTCGGCTTTGACGGACAGACGTTGCCCGTTCAGTCGAATGTCAGGTTCCGAGTGTATGCCTCTCTTTCGAGAGAACAAGACACACGTGCTTTTTTGTGGGTTAAGCCGAAATCCGTTTTCATCTGCCCATTTGGAGACCTTATTTAAACCCAGCTGAACCTGCCGCTCACACATGGCCAAGTTGCATGACTTGAAGCCAAGCTGAGCGTCGTCGACATATGTACAATAGAACATATTGCGGGGAATGGACAAGTGCAAAGAATTCATTTTAATAATAAAAAGTGTGCAACTAAGCACACCACCTTGTGGCACGCCTGTTTCCTGGATAAATGTTTGAGAGAGCACACTGCCCAGACGGACACGGAATGTCCGGTTTGACAGGTAACTTTCGATTATATGAAACATTCTTCCGCGCACGCCAAGGTGTGACAGGTCTCTTAGAATTCCGAAACGCCATGTTGTATCATAAGCCTTTTCGATATCGAGGAACACAGAGAGAAAATAGAAAATATTGTTTATGAACGAAGGCGTCTCTGATCTGTGCCTCGATACGAACAAGGTGGTCTGTGGTGGATCTACTTTCTCGAAACCCGCACTGAAATGGGTCGAGCAAATTATTTGTTTCAAGAAAATGTACAAGTCGGCAGTTTATCATTTTTTCGAAGACTTTGCACAAGCAGCTTGTAAGTGCTATAGGCCTATAACTCGAGGGTAAAGAAGGGTCCTTGCCCTCTTTCAAAATGGGAATAAATATAGCCTCTTTCCAGGCGGCAGGAATAGTGCCAGAAGACCAAATAGCATTGTACAAACAAAGTAGGGTTTTTTGGGTTTCGTTTGGTAGGTTTTTTAACATTTCATACATCACACGGTCAGAGCCTGGGGCAGAAGTACTGCAGGAGTTTAGAGATGTTCGGAGCTCAGCTAGACTGAAAGCTTGGTTATATGCCTCGTATCTAGTGGATTTGTGTTCGAGTTTCTGCTTTTCTATTCTTGTTCTGTATTTTTGGAAAGTGTCAGTATAGTGGGACGAGCTGGATACCTGTTCGAAGTGTGCACCGAGGAAGTTTGCCTGATCTTCCAAGGTATCACCCTGAGTGTTTACGAGTGGAAGTGCGTGTACTTGTTTTCCTGCTATCCTACTGACCATGTTCCATACTTTAGCCTCCTGTGTGTATGAATTAACCCCTGATAAAAACTTCTGCCAGCTTTCTCTTCTGGCCTGCCGACGCGTTCTCCTGCCTTGAGACTTTATTTTCTTGAAGGTTTCAAGATTTTCGGCTGTCGGTGAGTTACGAAGCAGCCTCCAAGCTCTGTTTTGCTGTTTGCGCGCGTTTCGGCATTCATCGTTCCACCATGGCACACATCGTTTTCCAGGGTGTCCATTTGTTTGTGGGACGCATTTTGTTGCAGCATCAATCAAAAACGCTGTGAAGTAGTTCACAGCAACATCAATGTTCAAAGTACAGATGTCATTCCAACCTAGACAAGCGATAGTATAAAACTGTTCCCAGTCGGCTCTGTTTATGAGCCACTTGGGAACGCGTGGTGGACACTCAGTTACTGTCGTTGTGCTCAAAACTACGGGGAAGTGGTCACTTCCGTACAGATTACTGACGACTTTCCACTGTAGTAGAGGCACAAGAGATGGAGATACTATGGTCAGGTCTATAGAGGAGTAGGTGTTATTAGCGAGGTTATAATAGGTTGGTTCTTTTCGATTTAGGAGACACGCGCTCGATGAGATAAGGAACTGTTCGATCAGCCGACCTCGCGCGTCATACCGAGAGTCACCCATAGCCTGCTATGCGCATTAAAGTCTCCAAGGAGAACATAAGGTTCCGGAAGTTGATCAATTAAAGAGTGTAAATCACGTTTTTGCAGCTGATAGCTAGGAGGAATGTAGATAGTGCAGATTGTGATCAGTTTATCAAAAAGAACCGCTCGAACAGCCACTGCCTCAAGGGATGTTTGTAGTTGTAAGTGTGTGCATGCAGTTCCTTGTTTCACTATGATGGCAACACCTCCGGATGATGTCATGGCATCATCACGGTCCTTTCGAAAAATAACGTGTTTGCGAAGAAAATTTGTGTGTTTTGAATTAATTGATTGATTGATATGTGGGGTTTAACGTCCCAAAACCACTATATGATTATGAGAGACGCCGTAGTGGAGGGCTCCGGAAATTTAGACCACCTGGTGTTCTTTAACGTGCACCCAAATCTGAGCACACGGGCCTACAACATTTCCGCCTCCATCGGAAATGCAGCCGCCGCAGCCGGGATGTGTTTTGAATTAAGGTGTGTTTCTTGTACACACAGCACTTTTGGTGTGTGTTCGTGTAAGAGTTCTTGGATGTCGTCAAGGTTTCTGAGAAGGCCCCTGACGTTCCATTGTATAATTTGAGTGTTCATGGTGAATGTAAAATAATGCTGTGTGTACGAAGAGCGAGTGGCTGTTTAGACGGGGAGTTTGAGTTCACTTAACAGGGCCATCACCAGGCCCTGTTATTTGCTTTTTTGTTTTCTTGGCGCGCTCCAAGGAGCCACGCCGCTCTTTCGGCACCAAGGGTGCCGAGTGCGGGCTGTTAGTTCGGATTTTAGGCCTCGCCTGGTGAGGGGAGGCCTTGAGACCCGAAGACTCTGGAGTCTCCGGCCTCTGTTTGGGAGCAGGCGGTGTAGCCTGGGCTACAGCCACCTTGGGGGCAGGTGCCACAACCGCCGGCTCGGTATGCGCGGGCCGAAGGTGTGGCGAGGGCTGGTGCGGCGGTGCCCCCTGACGCGCCGCATCAGCGTATGTAGGTCCATAGAATGGAACGACTCTTCGCCGTGCTTCCTTAAACGTAATGTTCTCCTTCACCTTCAATGTAATTATTTCTTTTTCTTTTTTCCAGTAGGTGCAGGAGCGTGAATATGCGGCGTGGTTTCCTTCGCAGTTTACACAGTGTGGCGGTTGTTTGCAGTTCTCAGACACGTGGCCTAGGACTCCACATTGTGCACAAGTCTGGTGACCACGACAGGTTTTAGAGCCATGGCCATACCTCTGGCATTGGAAGCAACGACGAGGGTTTGGTATATACGGTCTGATAGATGTCTTTGTGTACCCTGTTTGTATGGAATCTGGTAGTTTACTGGATGCAAACGTGAGTATCAAGTGTTTTGTTGGTATTTCCTTATTATCTCTTCTGATTATAATTCTCTGTACATTATTGACATTTTGGCTCTTCCACCCTTCCAAAAGTTCAGTTTCGGTGAGTTCAAGTAAGTCTGCATCAGATACTACTCCGCGAGTGATGTTCATGGATCTGTGTGGTGTTACGGTGATCGGCACGTCACCAAACGTTGAGAGGCTGTCTAGCTTTACAAATTGTGCTTTGTCCCGAATTTCGAGAAGAAGGTCTCCGCTAGCCATTTTGGTTACTTTGTATCCAGCCCCGAAAGTTTCATTAAGACACCTGGCAACTACGAAAGGAGATACGGTCCTGGCTTGCTTTCCGGTTTTTTCGCAGTGAATGACGTGGAAGTGGGGAAAAGTTTCTACTGGCTGGTTGAAGAAGTTTATGTCGTCGGTGCGTACCCGCTTTAGGCCGGTACGATCAGACAGTTGAGGGAATGCTCCATGCATGCCGGTCTTATTTTTGTTCGGCAGCGTTGGCGGCCACCCACCACGGAGCCCAACGAGGGGACGCTACAAGTTTGCGGATGCTGAAACCTGCAGACGCCAGCCGTACAACGCCACTATAACCCAATGCGCCTAGACCAAGGTAGGCTATTTGCACAGGGTTAACCCTAGCCGCCAGGAAGTTTGGAAGTAAACGGAAGAGAGTAGAAGACAGGACAGATAAACAGTAAGAGATAAAGACGAAGGTGTAGGGAGAGAGAGATAGGAAAAGGCGACTGCCGATTTCCCCTGGGTGGGTCAGCCCAGGGGTGCCGTCTACGTGAAGCCAGGGCCAAAGAGGTGTGTTGCCTCTGCCAGGGGGCCTTAAAGGTCCAATCACCCAGGGTCGGCTCAACCCCCAGGATCCCCTTTTCCCCGGACACGGCAAAGCCACGCACGGCTAGGCGTGGGAGGGAGCCGAAACTCCCCCGTTAGCTCGGGTCCGTGGTGTCGCTACACACCAAACGCCTACTTGCGCAGGCGCCCCTGCGGGGTGAGAAGTTCCAATGCCTTTTCTTCTGCTAGACAACAGAATCTACAACCTAAGCAACCTGATCCCATCTGTCATACTGATTGATTGATATGTGGGGTTTAAGGTCCCAAAACCACTATACGATTATGAGAGACGCGGTAGTAAAGGGCTCCGGAAATTTCGACCACCTGGGGTTCTTTATTGTGCACCCAAATCTGAGCACACGGGCCTACAACATTTCCGTTTCCATCGGAAATGCAGCCGCCCCAGCCGGGATTCGAACCCGCGACCTGCGGGTCAGCAGCCGAGTACCTTAGCCACTAGACCCCCGCGGCGGGGCATCCCCATCTGTCATACTAACAAAGAGCGCACACTTACTCGCTGTAGTCTCTGCACGATGGGTCACTCATGTCATTGTAGAATGTGTTCCCTATGTAGAAGAACGCTGACTTGTATAGGTCCTGCAAGAGAGTTGGTAAGGCGTACTCAAGAATGTTTAAACGCAATGACTTGCACAGGCAGCAGTAAGTGGACACACGCAAACATCGTAGCGTTTGCACATATATACAGCACATTAATACCAGCATCACAAAGAGAAAATATAATTATCGTAGCTAATACATACTAACTCAAGTTGCTAGATGCACATACTTCAAAGTGCGTATAGAGGAAAAATTGCCTCTGAATCCCGATTCATGTTTTTTTAACACTAGATAGAATGCTTCATGCTGCAACCAATAGCAACAAGGCATTTATATTACATGGTGGATGTTGGGCATTCAAATGTACACTAGTGTTCGTGCAACTTAGACACCCACCAAAAAAGCACACAAAGACAACTTGTCGGTTGCTTTCCAACATCAAATGGCCCGTCCGTGTCACTTTGGTCCATCATCTAAAAATTTTGCACAAGAAGACATTGATCAAGTGGCAAGTTCCGAGTGTCGTGTCCATAATGCAACAATGAGCAGGTAATCCTCACCCTTATCAAGAATCGCCGCTGTTACATTGTCTGGTGGATCCTGTAAGCACAGCTAAACTTGAGCTCTATTTGCTTCTGGCAATCGTAATAGTAATGACACATGCCTTGAAGGTCATGATCACTCAGTACCTATGTAATGGCCCTGTCACACGGACACCCGCAAACACCGTTCAACTCCTTGTCTTTACGACAAGGGAGATGTGGTCTGTGTCACACGGCCACTCTTACGCAAACGAAGGTAAACGGAGTGTTTTGCAAAGGAACTTCCGCTATTTCCCTTTGCAGAGGAACGAGTTACTCGTTTCCCGAGTATTCTGCAGGTCAGAAACAAATTTCGAGCACTATATTGCCGCACTACAAATGCCTGCCATTGCTGCAGGTGAACAATTTTTGAAGGAAAAGAGTTTGTTAAGAATGCATTGATAAAAAATGCTAATGCAACATTTTAGCACAGGAGAGCAAGCAGAATTATGTTACATATTGAGGTAGCATTCGTTGCATGAAATCGCTACATTGTATTGATGCTACCAGTGACGCCCAAGGAGTTTTCTCAAGACTCTTACAAGACTTTTAAAAACAGTACCAAACAAGCACCAAAGAGTTTTTACAAGGATGTCCTCAGTCACCTACGTGATGCTGTGCGGCGGAAGAGACCCGAGTTGTGGTCAACAGGAAAGCGGAGCATTCATCACAACAATGCTCCTGCACATTCCTCACACTTGGTTCACAGTTTTTTGGTGAAAAGTCAGACTCCTGTAGTTCGACAAGCTCCTTACTCTCCTGATATGGCCCCCTGCGACTTCTGGCTGTTTCCCAAACTCAAGAGGACGTTGAAAGAGAGCTATTTAAGATAAGAGAGGACATTATAGCTGCGACTCGCAGCCAGCGGACGAGGCACACCAACGCTTAACGTGCTACACTTCATTCTGTAAGAAGCCTTCTCAGAATGCTTCCAAAAATGGCAGCACTGCTGAGAGAAGTGTGTGGAGTCGCAAGTAAACTACATTGAGGTGGATTAGGTTTCCAACGCTCCAATTATGCCAGCTTTTTTTTTTTCTTCTAAAATGAATCAGTGCACCTGATAAAAATCAGGTACACTGATTAAATGTGAATATGGGAGACTTGAGCAAAGTGGTGCTTTCATGAAGTGATCTCAACGCTTATATACAAAACTAAATGGAACAAGCACAGTTGTCCCTGTTGGAAATTATGAAACATGTCTTCTCATGCATTTTTGATGGTTATGGCCTGGACTTCTTGCAACACAAGCTGATGCACAAGTAACATTTAATGCGACTGCAGACTGTAATGTGTCGACGCAGTGATACCACGAGGGCAAATGTCAGGTTTCTTGACTAAACAATCGTGATTACATACGTAACGTGCGAAAGACAAATGTAAGGCTGGATAAATGTTTTTTCTCCTGCTCCATTCCTGCAATATGGAAACCAGCGTGTGTGTGCAGGTAATGAAACATGGGGCATGTGCTTATTTGACAAGATAGCGATAGTAGGCATAGTAAACTACTGTCTTACACTAGCTTGTTGGTCTGAAGTTCTGTCGGGGTCATCGCTGAAGTCTCCAACAATTACAGCGTCTGACACGCAAGAAATTTTCTCACGCAAGGTGCGCAATGTCTGGCAGCCGAGCATTGCCAACTCAGCTTGGATCTGGAAAAAAAAAAGTGACCACGATCATGTACAGTAGACTCTTGGTAAACAGAAATATGTTAAGCGGAACCACTGCTTAAGCGTAACCATTGCTCCTGCAACGCTTGGTTTCGGGCTAGTATTCTGCACCTATGTTAACCTCTCAGTAAATGGAACTCCTGTTAAATGAAAAATATTTTCTGGGTCCCTTCAGGTTCTGTTTACTGAGTCTACTGTAAAGCCTAAATGTATTCTAAGTGTATTCTGTACAGTTGACATATGGGATGCACATGCACTGACATCGGTTACAGCGCCGTGCGATGGTGTACTATACCATGGCACACTAGAAACATAGCCACAAAAACATAGTGATATTGACGACACTTAGGTAAGGAAAATGCATGCTGACTGCCATAAAAGTGCACTGCAACATGAACAAATTCAGTGCTATTGCCAATGTGCCCCACTCCTTGCCTTGTACATCGGTATCTGTAAAAAGACTAAAGAAGTATGTTTAACTAACTGGATTGATCAAAGCTTGTCAAAAATAATTCCATTCTAAATTCTGCATCCCTGCTGCACTGAAAATGCACAATAAAATAAGCTTATCCAGCCCAGTCGATCACACAAACGCATGTGTTTGTAAAGCGTGAAGGTCATTTTCACAGTATTTCCAAGCAAAGGAAGTTATTTTCACTGCATCTCCAAGCAGATGCATGGCTGTGTCGTAGAGCACCTGCTTGCCACGGCCTGGGGGTTCGATCCTCACTTGCACCAGAAAATTCAAACTTATTTTATTTACACATTTCTCAATTTTTTTCGGTTACACACAAGAGGATGATTTTTGCTCACAACCAACGATGCCAACGTCTGAATTTATGCGAAATGAGCTCTTTAACACTCTAACGTTAAAAAACTCCCCCTTGAGAAAATCATCGTGCCTCCTGAGCACACAAACAAAACTTCTTTTTTTGCAGGATCCCAATGTCCGCACTCAGCACTGCTGGTGGCCACATACAATACTGCACAATTTTCGTTCAGGAACAAAAAATAAATGCAAACCATTTCAAGTTTTTACAAGTGCACCTAAAAAAACAAAAAAAAAACCACTTGCCTTGAAAGAAAAGTTTTGAGCACCCAAGCGCACTTTCTTCAATACTACAGGCATTTTGATGGGCTTGAAGACCTGTACTATCAGTACTACCTCGTTGCTAGGCACAGGGTCGTCGTCTTCTTGGGCATTCCAGGGATCTCCGCGCTTCGTGCAGTTCTTTGGCACAGAAAAAGAAAGAAAGAAAGTGGAACAAGGGCAGTCAACGTTTAGTTGTACAATCTTATGAAAGCAAACAGAACTCACACATGACACATGCTAATTAGTGGACACATACAACTGATAATTATAACACTATGAAGCACTGCTAAGGCCTGTGACAGATGACATTGTAAAGGAGAGCTCCAACTTAATTTGGACTACTCAAGGTTCTGCAATGTGTGCCCAGTGCACCATGGCTCCATGAGAATGAGGTCATTGCAGCCAGCAATCGAACCTTTGATCTCATGCTCAGACGTGCAGGGCGACAGGCACCTGACTATACTATACAATATGGTGCAATCTTAGGTTAGATTGTACTTGCACGTTGACATTAACTTACACAAGCCAAAGGTAGGACAAGCTTTGGCTGTACCGCTACAAGTCATGGTGGTAGTACAGCTACGTACAGGAACACCGATAAATTCATAGTTATTTTCTGTTTTTATAAATGCAACATTGTGTTAAAGTATAAATACAACTATTTATTATCCATCTCTGACTCATTAGGATGCATCATTGAGAGCTTTGCTAATAATAACAAGAACTACAGGGTACAAAAATGATGCACCGACTGCAGAAAGGCCACCAGAGCTTCCTGGATTTTGTCATATATACAATCCTTCTCTCTTGGTACCCAGAGTAGAGCCAAGTAAAATTATGTAACATCTACATAATGGGCATGTCTGCAAGAACATAGTTTCTAATTTACATAAGTACTCTCATGTATATGCCAAAATGTTTTAGCCATGTGGCATGTCTTTAGAAAAGCAGAGGCAATCGGTACTTATGTGCTTACCACTTTTGAAAGGAAGCAAACTTTGCGAAAGTGTTGAGACGTCTTCAAACGATATGCTTCGTCAGCTTCTCGCTTCTCAATGTCCTCTTTTTGCAGCCTGTGGACAAAGTGTGCATGAGCCGGCTTCATCAGTGAATAAGAAGTGGTAATTCTTTGTAATTTTTCAGACTACTCAGCCTAAATGTAAAACTGTATTTGACCATCTATCACAATCATACAGGCACATGAAACAACACACGCACTTGCCTCAAGGTAACAAGACCGTCGTAGTCGGGGAGCTTTTCTATATCCATGCTTTCTTCTCCACAGCTCAGAGTAGATGGGCTGGAAAAAAAAAACAATATTCTCAACCTATAATTCACAGAAAAAATGTAACCAGTACAACAAAGTTATGCAGATCTTGCAGACTTATAATCAATGCAGAATGAAGCCCTTTGCAGCTAACTGGCTGTCCAGTGTCTATACGAATTTCGCAAAGAGCTGCTTCGACAAGAAGTACATATGAAATCTAGGCCTAATCCTGAGAATGTCAGGCTGCTCTGGTGGCAGACCTTTAGGTTTGGTCACACAGAGTCAATCACCCTTTTAATTAAGGAAAAATCCTTAAGCGTCTCAGTGTGGAGCAAACTTGAAGGAAACATGGCAGGCATGGCAGTGGTGCAAAAGCCTAGCGAGCGGTGTGTGGAGAAGAAATGGCTTCATTTGACATCACAAATCACCATAATAAGTGACACCATATATGATGAGATCATCACACTACATCACTGCTCCGTAAAAGGTGGGCCCATCCCATAAGTAGTACAGCATGTGAAGGCCATAAAGCTTCATGTGGGATGAGACAATGCAATCGACTGAGAATTTCAAGGTGACTTAGAAAAGGAAAGAGGTTTAACTTAAAGGTCTCGTTTTTCTCTGTTTGACACAATATTAATGAGAAGTAGTAGACAATGATACCAAGAGAAGCATAGGGGATGTTATTAGAAGTAATTGTAGTGTCAATGACAGGAAAGAAAAGTGAACGAAAAGATAGCCTGCCACTGGCAGAATCCGAAACTGGGACTTTCCAATAGCATCCAATGGTCTACCACTGAGTTACACAGCGGTCCTCCTCCCGTCCACTTTATAGGGTACACACGAGTGTTTTAAATGTGGCAATGTCAGCCAGCGTTGCCTGTCACCATTGCAGCATCTGTGCAACACTCTTTTTGTCTGCAGGCGTCACGTAGCACGTGACCTTATTACAAGCTGGCAGCTGACCAATACAGCTTACTAGAATTACTCCTAATAACATCCGCTATATTTCTCTTGGCATCATTGTCTGTTAGTTATCATTAATAGAGTAACTATACTTTGCTGACTGCGTCTCACAGGAAGCCTGGTCCCCTATATTCGTCACCGTGGTCTAGTGGTTGAGGTGCTCGACTGCTGACCCGCAAATCATTGCTGCCACGGTCGCGTTTTCGATGGAGGCAAAAATGCTTGAGGCCCACGTAAATGCATGTTAGAGAACCCCACACCGTCCCAAAATCACAAAACCCTTCACTAAAGCCTCTCTCATATTAATATAGTGGTTTTGGGATAGTTTTTGAGGGGGACACATTGCCATCGCATGTGAAAGTGGGCTATGTGAGGCATCCCGTCCGCCTGTACGTGCCTAGGCCATCACAGTGCGACAAATGTAAAAAACTTGGGCTCGTTAGCACTGTGTGAGAGAACAGGTTGACTTGTCCCCGCTGCAGTGGAATTCATGAAAAGTCGCCGTGCGGGATATCTACCCTAATTGCGCTGGCCCTGATGAGTCAAGCTCGGAAAATTGCCCTAAAATAAAGACTGAAATGACCGTGCTTAGGAAGATGGTAAGAGATCACTCTACGCACAGAGAAGCGGCTTCTAAGGTGCACCATCCCCAGAGGCGCTCTCGTAACCGCAAGAGGAGATCAGCATCGACAAGTGTACGAAAGCCTGTATTGCCTGTTCAGTCAGCGAGAGATCCTCTTATATCTGAAGCGGTATTTCAACCTCGAGTCACAGCTTCTTAGAAGAATGTGACGGATAATACCTCATGGCCTTCTCTGCCGCCTTGGAGTGCCCAAGTGCAAGGACCAGAAAATCGGCATGAACATGAGACTTTGTCATCAGATGTGCAAATCAAAGCAATGCTTACACAGTTGATCCGTGCTTTGCAAATGCCGCTTGTTGGTGTCAAGACGTCTGTTGCGAAGGCTGCAGTGCAAATTCTAGACGGACTAGAACTGGTGATTCGTGCTATTTAAAACCAACAAAAATCATGGTGTCAGCAACCTCATCGTCATCACTGAGTGAAAGAATTGGTCGTTGTGTTATATTTCTATGGAACGCTCGAGGGCTACGAGGTGACCTTGGAGATTTTAAACAGAGAATGTTGAAATATAGATTCCCTCTTGCTGTGATATGCGAGTCGAATATGACTTTACCATTCAGACTGTCTGGATATAAACAATTCACTTCCCAGACAAGTGGAAACCCTAGCAAAGTTATACTATTCGTGCGTTGTGACCTCACATATTCCCATAACCAAATACCTATGCATAGCAGCAATAAGTACGTTTCCATCAAGCTGAAGCTAAAAAGACCTACGATATCGATCATTGGTGGTTACACTTCACCGAGCAGGAGATTTGACGCTGAACATTTGAAACTTATCTACTCGAGTCAAGGACCTCACGTCATCGTAGGTGACTTCAATGCACATCACTATCTTTGGGGCAGCAACGTCATAAGTACTCGGGGAGGACTACTCCTAGACTTCACAAGCAACAATGGTCTTCATAATCTAAACGATGGATCATCGACATATCTCCGTGGCTCAACGTACAGCAGCTGTCTCGACTTAACTTCTCGATGCCTTTCAACATCCACCGCCTGGTGCGCAGACGTTAGAACATATGGTAGCGATCACATTCCTACTTACATACAACTACGATGGTATACCGGCGTTGCAAGCATTCGAAGACAATGCACAGATTGGGAGGCTTTTTAAGAAGAGCTAGAAAAGTCTTGTAGCTCTATAGCTTCTCCGGAAAAATATTGAAGAATGAATTGCCACAGCCGTACACACCACTACACGAGTTGTCAAACATCAATTTCCAGGAAGCCGGCTGATGTGGTATACGAAGAGCTGCGGGCAGTTCGTCGTCGAGCTGAACGCAAATACAGGCGAATGAAATCGATCACAGGCCTGAAGACCTCTCGTAACGTGCAAAAGAAAATTCAGGGGTACTTAGAAAAGCTTGGCCGCCAAAACTGGAAGTCATTTTGCACCACCATGGATCCACGAAAACCACTAAAATATGGCACGTCATATGAGCTCTACCATCTTCTCCTCAGCAACTGCATGCTTTCCGTGCATTGGCCATCATAAGAACATGCAGCGAGAAACAGATCGCGGAAGAATTTTCTATACACATCCCCGGCTCCGCAAGAACGAATGGCTCACAGCTTCAAAGCGCACCTCCTACGGCAGACGCCGTCTCAATCATCCTTTCATGCTTCAAGAGCTTCGTGTGGCTATGTCCACTTCGCAATATTCTAGTGCACCTGGGTCTGATAGAATCACCTATGCTACCCTGCGCCACCTTGGTCCTTGGGCAACCGAAGACCTGCTGTCTTTGTACAACCTTTTTTGGGCATCTGGAACTGTAACGGCACACTGGAAAACTAGCAAGATTGTGGCATTGCTGAGACCTGGCAAGCCTCCCGATAATATGCTATCCTAGAGACCTGTGGCGCTATCACGTTCTGCAGAAAAACTCATGGTTCTGATGCCTTTGGGATAGATCCTAGAGAAGCAAAGAGTATATCCAGACACCATGACTGGCTTCCAGAAGGGAAGGTCATCATTTGACAGTGTGACTGATTTGGTAACAGCCGTTGAACATCAGAAACGGCGCCGTCGATTAACGGCTGCAGTACTTCTTGATATCAAAGGTGCATTCGACAATGTTCTGCATGACGCCATTCTGGATGCTCTTGAAGACTATGGCACTGGTAGCCGCATGCAATGGATAGCCAGCTATCTACAAGAGATAACTATATACATGTCTACTGCTGACAGTGACACACATAAGCATTCCGTCTATCGTGGCATGCCTCAAGGTGGAGTCCTGAGCCCAAATTTTTTTTTAATATCGTACTTGTTGTCCTCGTTGAAAAGCTCCTTAAACTACGAGGCAAAACCTCTGTGTCTGTGTGCGCAGATGACATTGGCATTTGGAACAAGAGTCTAACACGTTTGCAAGTACAAAAGAAACTACAACGTGTGGTATCAACAACGTCTGCATACCTCAATACCTGAGGACTGCAACTGTCACTGACGAAAAGTGCAACCCTGCCATTCACGAGAAAATCCATGGCTTGTTACCCCATAGTGATCGATGGGAACATAATACCTTCGGTAACTCATCACAAGTTCCTCGGAGTTATCATCGATCATGATTTGTCTTCGTCAAAGCACATTTCATCACTAAGAAAAAAACTAGACACCTTTGTCCAGGTCATTTGCCATATGTCTGGAAAATCATGAGGACCATCGAAATCATCTCTTCTGCAGCTATACCAGGCACATTTTATTCGATACCTTCACTACAGTGCTCATGTTCTCTCCCGTGCTCGCTCATTGATTGTGCGTACACTCGAGAGAGCACAGGCGCGTGCCCTGAGAATTTGCCTAGGAGTACCTCGATGTCCTTATATATGGGGCACTATTGCAGAAGCACGTGCTTGTCCAGCTCGTGTTTATCTTCAACACGAACCACTACGAGTACATCTGAGGCTACTGACAAGGCATTGAGACCATCCACTGGCAGACACTTATAACACATGACCCAAGGCTCCATACTCAGGAGCTGTTATGTCGCACCGAGATCTTCTGCCTTCAAACTATGCACCACATGTTATCTCTGACATACCACTCTAAACGATTCCTAAGCCGATCGCGCTACTTTCGATCTCAGGAATAACAAAGAAGTCAAAAATACCAACTGCTGGTCTTAAGCATTTCACTTTGTCATATATTGACTATATGTACGGATATACAGTACACATTTTTGCAGATGGCTCTATCACGCAGACCTCCTCAGCAGCAGCTTTCACTTGGCCTCAAATGGGAATCACTCAACGCTTCAAAATAGCACACCGGACATCACCTACTGCCACCGAGCTGACCGACATCCGACAAGCTGCGTGCTACATTTTACAACAGAGTCCAGCAAAATGGACATTATTTTGCTACTCCAAGCCGGCACTTCAGCTAATTAGAAACTACATGAAACCAGACACTGCGTAAA